AATCCTACTATTCTTTGGTAAAAGAGTAGCCCAAAAGTTGGCGTTTGGCGGTGACAACTAGCTGCCTTCTCTCTAGTCCTACACTGCTAAATTAGGGACGGCTAGTGCAGATAGCCCTCATGTAGCTTTGCGCGAAATTCATAACAAACAAACAAACACTATCATGAGAACCAACAATGGTGCTTCTATCACTGAAAAATTGGGCACAAATTGTCGGAAGTGTGAAGCGATTCTAAGGTAAGTTTGGAGTTTTCTCAGTCTCACCAAGAAACTCCATCCACATATGCATGAGCAAACACTTTCGAGGAGTCATTTTCAGTCTTACTTTTCTTTTACACTGCAATACTAATCTTGAGTTCTCAGATGCTGACTTGAAAGTGTAGTTAAGCACCAAAGCATCTTCATTGTAAATCAGATATCTTTACCATTGTAGTCCCTTGAGTGTAAACTCCATCAACCTCTTGAAGATGATGCAAATGACATGGTTCAAATCTCTTATAAGCCATTTCTTTTGTTAAAAGCAGTCTCATATCTGATTCATCATCCAGGTCAACTTTGCAGTATCTGATACCAGATCCAAGGTATTGAACTAATAGAAGGATTTTAACACATCCAGCCACGCAACTGCCTACGATAATGGAAAGGCGTGAACGCGTATTACTATGCCTGCCCATCAAAAGTCCATATAAAACCTTGACTTGCCTTCCTTCTTCCTGACAATTACTACTGGATGTGACCAAGTACTCTCCAAAGGATTTATGATTCCTTCTTCCAGCACTTGCTCTATTGCAGTTCTTCCAACTTCCCTAGTGCTTAAAGAAAGTCAGAATGGTGGTTGCTTTCTTGGATATGCACTGACTCTTTCTATATGGTGCTGAGTCATCTTTGTTCGACCCATTCTGCGAACTAGGTAAACAAATTCATTGATATATTCAAAACAAAAGTTTCACTATGTACAATCAATAAAAACATACATCGTAATGACAAGCAAGGCCAAAATGTTATTCTAATACACACCATTCTATAATGATTTTATATTGGCTGTGCTTAACATGTGACTTGGTGAATTGCATATTAAAAATCGCTTTATTACATTGCACCCAGTCGTGTATTTATATAAAGATTCTATATGAAAAGTAGCACAATATAACCATTCATCAAATTTTATTTCTTTTAAGTTTGTGAAAAACTCAAACTTTTCTAAAGCATATTAATTCATAATAAAATTTCAAAAAATTACCAAAACCCAACTAATCTATGATTAAAAGTTTCAATTTTGGAAACCACGAATCTGATAGAAAAACCATTCTTATCTATTTTTTGATAAACAATACAAAATTCTACAATCACAATCAATTAGTTTAATTTGATTATAAATTACAAAATTAATAACACCATCTTTTTTAGTTTCTATAAATATTTTTGTAGTTGACCTTCTCTCTTTTTAGTTGGGTCTGAACTTAGTTCACGAAATTTAGTGAACATGCTCGCTATTTCAGTCATGGGAGCACTATAATATTGTTGCGTCAGCGGGGTCACGTGACTCGTTCTCTTGAACCTTCGGGAATTGTCGGGAGATAACTAGATATAGGGTAGTTGGTATATATAAATTGGTGACAACGTTATGGGACAATGTGTGTGTGTAGGTAGTGAGTAATTGATCTGCAGT